ATTTCAATATACTTGTAAAGCAGCTACTTTTAACAGAAGCTTTTTTTTTTTTCCTTTTATTCTCATATTCTCGGTTTTGGCCTAAGCAAAAAAAAAATGCTGTGTTACTAACTGTCACTTGGAGGTAGGACATTTTAATTCCTCATTTCTCATTTCTAAATCAACTGACCTTCAGAACATGACCACCACTATATTTTCGACATTTCATCTTAAAGGACATTTTTTTTTCTTAGACATGTCCATGCAATTTAAATTAAGTTAATTTAAAATAATTTAGATATTAAGTCTGATTTTTTATTTATTTATTTAATAAAATTGATAATTTTATATAAAGACTTTTTCATATAAAGATCTCAAGGGACATATATTTAAATGGAAATGACATAATGATATATGCATTTTTTTCTTGTTTACCCCCTCTTAGAAAAACAAACAAAAAAGGTGAAAACCAGCTAAAAACTGCTCTCACAACATGTATATTCACATCATGAAAAGTGCCCCTTTTGTTAGGCAAATAGTTGCTTTCATAAGTGAATAATGTTGTGAATTACTAAGTGCAAATAAGAAAAGTTAGTTTAAATACAGGTAGTGTATTTTATTTGATCGAGATGTACATTGATATAATTTAAAATTAGACTAGCGTCCAAATGAAAGCAATTTCAAAGTAGATTTCAAATAAACTTTCCGAGTATGCTTGCATTTTCTTATGAGAAAAAAAGGGAAAAACCATGGGACTGTATTCCATAGTCTTGATCAATCCAAACCTCACGTGGGAATGAGTAATGTGCAAAGCTTTTGACCACTGATAATAATTATTCCCTAAATTAAAGATGAGCTTTATGCCATCTTCTTTGATGATTAAGAAAGTCAGTGTTTGGAGGGTAATTAGTTTCTTAGTTAAGGTTCATTGTTCAGGTACACTTAAGGTAATTGTCATGCCTGACCTAAATTAACAACATTTATCACATTTTATTAACTATTGACAACAACAGAAGCACTTGACCAAAACAAGCACCAGACTTCTATCTTCTGAGACTTCTGGTGGCCCACCAAGGAAGCAAATTTCAGAGTCAGAGAAGACTGAGAGGAGATCTGATTAATATGTATAAGTACCTGAGGGGAGAATGTAGGGAGGATGGGGCCAAACTCTTCTCAGTGGTGTTCCGTGACAGGATGAGGGGTAATGGGTACAAACTGAAACACAATAAGTTCCCTCTCCATGTGAAGAAGAACTTCTTTACTGTGAGGGTGACAGACTGTCCAGAGAGGTTGTGGAGTCTCTTTCTCTGGAGATCTTCAAAACGTGCCTGGATGCCACCCTGTGCCATGTGTTCTAGGTGTCCCTGCTTGAGCAGGGGGGTTGGACTAGATGATCTCTAGAGGTCCCTTCCAACCTTAACCATCCTGTGATTCTGTGAAATTTCCCATCCAGACATACTTCCAGCATAAACACCAGGTTTCAAGTCCTTATCATGAACATGGGGCTGCAGGTCCTTGGTTACTCTTGGTTACATGCGTCTGAGAAAAGCAAGGTGGCCTCTGCATTTTGCCAGTCTTTTGTCAGTATTATATTGCTCTGAGTATCTGGAGGAGTCTGACACAGCCAGGCTAAGTACTGTAACCTAGGCTGGGCTAGGCTAGAGATGGTCATACTGTTCTTACTGCTTTAGTTATCTTTTTCAATAATCTTCTTAAGCTAAAACATCAATGGTCAATTTGTCATTAGTCGATATTCTTTTGTAACATTATGCAGTCAGCTTTAGATTTTGCTGTCATTTATATGACTAATTTTCTGCTGTCATCATGACTCTATTACTCTTTTTCCAGGTCATTTATGAATATATGGAACAGTTCAGTTTCCAGCACAAACCAGAATCTGCTAATAATATTCCCCTCTATCACAAACTTTTTTTTTTTTTACCCATCATTTAAATGTATATATTTACATATTGATAGTAATAAGACCTTTGGTCCTACTGTAGTTTCCCTAGAACTATTTTTGGTGTTGCAGCTTAAGATTAAATTAATTAGGCAACACTTAGCAATATGCTAACTGAATTCCGGTAGATTTGTGAGGAGTAATTTCCATTTACAAAAGTCATGCTAATTATTCTCCAATATTTCTTGTGTATCCATATGCCTACTAAGTCTATCCTTTAATAATCTTTATGCTCCAAGGGGCCTCTAAGCTAACCAAAGTACAAGTTACATTATTTTTTTATCAAGTCTACAATGATAAAACCTGGCTCAATATTGTTGAAGGATTCATTCTGCAGTAATATGATTCTGTTGTGGACATTTGTAGCACCTCTGTGTCCAAAGTAGCATTAAAAAAGAGTTTACTTCTCATTCTTATCATTTGCCTCTAGCCCTAGGAACACTCAGGAACTTTGTGAGAATTTCCACTCATATTTATGATGAAAACTATTCCAACATAAGATGGATAATTCAGAACTCCAACTACATAAGATTTCCTATCAACAACAAGGCAAGACAACAAAAGTCTTGCAATATGTACATAAGCTCATGGATGCATAACAAATGGGGCAGGGATTTACTGTACTCACACGATATAACTCTACCTACAGACAGGCCAACTCAATTTCATATAATGTCTTTTGCGCAGAAATGCTTCCTGGAAATGAAAAAGGTGTGAATAACTCTAGAGATTTAAAAAGAAACAACAACAACAACAACAACAAAAGAATTTTGTTGTTATTGACTTGAGGCAAGGCTCCTGATCTAGGAAGCACAGGAATGTAAGAATGGCCATGATGTTTCAGAACCAAAGGCCTGCCTCTGGTCAAACAACTCTAGTTACCTATTCTGACAGATACAGGTTTGTCCAAATACACTGACACTAACCAAGGAATTAAAAAGATTGAAAAATAATTTCTGATCAGGTTAGTGTTCTGGATTACAATGCTTGGAAATGCAGGTTCAGCCAAACTCAGTCCACAGTTACTTGATTGGAACAAAATGAATGAAAATGCTTGGCAGCCTTGGTGGACCAGTGTGTCCCACCTAACTTCAAAAGCCACTGCAGAAAAACTAGACATAGCTGTCATTGGATCACAGGTAGCTTTGCAACTGTCAGTGTGCTTGCGTGAAGCAGTCGAGGACAGACAGTCTAGATGAAGGTTATTGAAGGCCACAGACAGAAGGCTGCTTCTTTAGACAAATCAAGTCTTATTAATTCAACCAAAAAAAAAAAATGCAGCCATTTGCATTCCTCTGCCCCAGCATAGTGAGTATAGTAGAGTCCAATGCAATGTTATATGTATATGTTACAACCACCAGCAGAGCCAGCCTGTAGTGTAAACATGACGGGAGGTACTGTGGCACACATTGGCATAAGTGCATGGGAAACTGTCATGCACATATTATGTAGGTTACCATTGTACTCTTATACCCATTTACTGGTTGTCACAGTGCTCTAACACCCACTTTTTGCAATCCACTTCTCATTTTCTGCATGTTCCCAGGGGGATGCACTCTTACGTGTAACCAGGCCCTTGTAACATAGGGCAACCACAGGTGGCACAATACAGGGACAGGGGGAATATAGCCACAGTTTCATCCATCTGTACACTGTTTCTAATGCCAGTGTACTACTCGAAAGTGCAAATGTCCCACCACATAACAGCTTGATGGTTACTTCCCTCCCCATTTTGTTGCCGCCTACAACAGAGGTAACATCAAGGAATAAGTGACTGCTTCTAAACGACATTGAGTTGGCAATCAGGTCACTGACCTGACTTATTATCTTAAAGGTGAGAAACTACAAGGTGCCTGCAAGGCTTATTTTGAATTTTTGCTTAATTGTGTACCTGAGCATAAACAATTATTAAAATATATCTATTGATCTGCTTGCTCTCCTTTTTGCAGTGCTTTACAACAGACAGATAAAAAAGTTATATGTAAACATGAGTAGCAATTCCCTTGTTAGAAGAGAGAAAAACAAAACAAAACAAAAAACATATTCACTAGCTTGCAAGGTAAGCACAACGTCCAGTTGTGGCCTAGCAACCCTAGAGCACAAGGAATCTTCTTCTGAAAGTCCACATTGCCTGGGTGGAATCCCACTTTTGTGTTGTGTTTTCATCAAAACATGCATCAACCAGGACACTCCTGGAAGAGGTGAGCATGGGTGCTTGAAAGCAGAGAGAGAAAAGGAAAAAAACAGAACAAGCAAACAAACAAACAAACAAAAAACAGGAGGAGAAAAAAAAGGGGGAGGGAAGAAAAGGAAAAGGGAGGGGGCTGAGAAAA